TTTTTTTTGGTAGTCATATGATGCTAACATTTCTTCTACTGCCTGGACATGCTGCGCTCGTTTTTGTAAAAACAATTTTTGATCTGAAGAACTGTCATTAAGATAGATTGTGTAGCCAAACGATTCATGCCCTTTCATTCACTCCCCATTTGAAATCATCAAGTGCATACCCCACTCTTCACCTTCATTCCCCCATCATCAAGCGCATACCCCCACAACTTCACCACCATTCCCCTATCAGCCTAACCCCTATTTCAAGATTTACGTAGGGCATTGTACAGTAGGCCTAAGTTATCGATATAGATATTGGCGATACCTTTATAGGACTACTTTATACAATCAATATTATTATGATAAAACAGAAAATGAAGAAAAGCCAACAAAAATCAATACCTCACCTTGGATATATCATAGTCAATTGACTATGGATATATACACTGGGAATCAAATACAGTAATTGATATAACTAAAGGTGTAGTATCACATAATAGGCAGCTAGCCTAGTAAGCCATTAGATGTCTGTCTCTAAATCTAATATTTTTTTTTTATCTAATAGACACAAAAAAAAATGTGCTGTCACTTTTTTCTTAAATTATTTTATCATGCAAGTCAAAACACACTCAAAAGGTACTATAGGCATAAAGCAGGCCTAGTAGTACTACTGAATCAAGAGCTGGACCTACTCTAGGCCCTAGGCATGATAGCATCTACCAGCTGATCTAAACAGGCATAGCCTACTAGGAGGATACAAATCTCCAGGGCTTTGTCGGCTTCGGCATTTTCTTTTTTACTAGTCTTGGTACTTCCTCTTTTTCCAGGCTCTGATTTATCTTCCGAAATCACCTCAACCACGACTGTGGTAGCTAGGCCTAGTAGTAAAATGCAAAATACTGAAGACATAATTTGATTCATTGCTTATTTTAATGCATAGGGCCTAGACGTCAAAACTGCATCATTATTATGATCATATTTTGCCAATATCACAGGTCTGTAAACGGGTACAACATTACGAGCGTTACCGGTAAGTTGTCCAATGCCACCACCTGACTAATCACGTGACTTGATGTGACCGCCGTTCGTTCGAATACATCGTTTTCACGTGACGTCACATTTCCCATCGGTCTTTTCGGTTCGCCATGTTGGTGGGCAGAAAAACCAAAACAAACTATTGAAAGCGCGGCGATGTGTGTAAAGGAGGTAGCGTTTTCGAAATATTACCAAGAATTGGATGTGAAAGACAAGGACAGATACAAAG